ACTATCTCGCCCGCACGGCAAAGCCTGGCAAGCTACCCGTGTTCGGTATGCCAAACACAGTAACAAGTCTCATAATGGAGACGTTACTGGCCCCGCTTGAGCAAATCGATGAACAACGGGAGGACCGTGACCGTGTTTAAAACAATGTTTTAAATTATACTACTTTCGGGGCTGGAGCAATAGCACAGCGGGTGGGGCGTTTGCCTTAGATGCGGCCGATCCGGGTTCGATTCCCAGCATTCCATATGGCCCCCTGAGCACCGCCAGGAGTAACTCCTGACTGCAGAGCCAGGAGTAACCCCTGTGCATTGCCGGGTGTGACCCCCCCCCCCAAAAAAAGAAAAAAAATTATACTACTGTCCAGTGCTAAAATTACTGCCTGTGAATGCTTTAATTTTGTAGTCTATAAAGAAATGAAAATTTAGGTTTAATATGCTTTCAAGCATTACAGAGTCTTCTGTTGGTTTTAGGTATGTCCAAATCTTGGTATTCCAATTCTGTTTATTCCAGGATTGCACAGATGGTTCAATATATGCAAATCAATCAAATGTGACATCAGGGCTCTCCTCTCCCTGGGACTGAGGTGGGAGGATGGCTGGGGGTGATCAGCCACAGTTTTCTCTTTAGAATCACATTAACATTGTTAGGTTAATTAGTGAGGATTGATATTTATGTTTAATTTAGTATTTAGTATTTAATTTTCTTGTCTTGAGCGAGGTGCAGCTTCCTATTTATGTGTATCTTTCAGTATCCCATTTTAATAGTGAACATACATACACATTAGTGGTAGATTTATTCCTTCATTTTTGAACCAACCCCCCAGCAGTGCTCGGGGTCTTTTTATGGATCATTGCTACTTGGGGGTCACCTCCAGTGGTGTTTGGAGGAAAAAAGTCGTGTTGAGGCTCTCACTGGGGGCTTTGCGTTCAAATCTTGCACTCTCCCCTTTTGAGCCATTTCCCTGGATCTTGTACAACTTCCGTGTTTCTGGGCCACACCTAGTCCTGCTCAAGACTTCTGTGCTCAGGGATCACTCCTGGTGGTCTGGGTGGGTAGACCATATGGGGTGACAGGGATCAAACCCAGGTCTGTTGCATGCAAAGCAAGCACCCTACTTTTTGTACTATTGCCCTGGCCCTCCGTGTACATTTTATTGCATTTTAGCCATGCTTTTATTTTCTTAAATTTTCATTGAATTTCAGCTGTGAGATACACAGTTAAAAAAAGTTGTTTATGATTGGATTTCGCTCATACAGTCTTCCAACACCCATCCCTTCACCAGTGTACATCTCTCACCACCACTGCCCCTCCATTCCCTCTCTCAGATTCCGGGGTCTATCGCTGACTCTGCAAAAGAGGAAGAATAAACCATAACTTCTCAATTCTGGTTTGAAATTAACCAGAATTTGTCTCTTCTTTTTGCCAATACAGAATCACCATTTACTTTTGCATCTCTCTCCTTTCTCTTCCCTCTTTTGCTTCCTGTGTTGAAATCATGCAAATATTTTAGTTTCAGATTGCCTGTTTTCCTATAAGTAAGCATTTATTGCTTCCTTTGTTTACAGTTTCTTACAGCTCTTAGCTTAGATAATTGTAAAAATCAGGTGTAGAGTACATCTGCTACTACCCCAGAGGTCTTTGCAAGCAAGCAATGGATTCTTCATTTGTGGATGTTGCTTTGGCACTCCTGCTAGAATCCCACAGTTCTGCCTGGATTATGAGTTTCAAAACCCTTTCTAACTTTGAAGTTAGTGTTTCATGTTTTCTAGCAGCTGACAAAAAGCCTAACGTTACCTTTATGTGATTTACCTTTCTTTGCAGGAATTCCCTTATCCTGGGTCCCCTTCCCTTTTTGTTGTAGTGGCTTCGTGCTACACATACACTCTGCCAAAAGTGCTCCTTGGGGCCAGCACACTTTGCTGTGGTACAGGGCTCCCAGACAGCAGAGCTGCAGAGGCCATGCTTGGTACATGTGAGCGAACTCACAAGGATGTTTTTTCTGCCACAGAACCGTTCCTGTACCCTCTGTGTGTGTGTGTGTGTGTGTGTGTGTGTGTGTGTGATGTTTTTAGGATATCTAGAGAGTTCAGTTGAATGTGTCTGGTTCCTTTTCCCATTAATTCAACACTAGATTCTACTTATCACTTGCTTTCAACTGATAGTAATTCATGTCCTCTTCTCCATCTCAAGAAAATTTCTAGAACTCGAAGGAGATGGACATTTGACTTGATGGCTCTGTGATACCAACCTTCACTTCATGCTTGAAAGACCTTTGTGAGAATTTGTTTTGCTTTTCATTTGTTCCTGTGCTCGCTTGATACTGAACATCTTGTTGAAGTTTGTTTTGGGGCTCAGGTTTTCTTTTTTCTGTTAAGTTTATTGAATGAAGAGTTGGACTAGAAGTAGCCTAAGGAGGTGGAGGTCTTGGGCACTTAAAAATGGTGAAGTGAGGTCACTGTCCATTAAATCATAAACTCTAGGGGCCAGAGAGATGGTACAGCAGGCAGAGCTTTGCCTTGCACATGGGTGACCTGGGTTCGATACCTGGCATCTTTTATGGACTCCTGAGCATTGTCAGATTGTCAGAAGTAATTCGTGAGTGCAGGGTCAGGAGTAATTACCAGGTGTGGCCAAATCCACCTCCCCCCAAAAAACAAAACAAAACAAAAACTTAACATTACTGCCATCCTATGACCTGAACTATAGTAATTTTTCAAAAGTCTAAAAGGATGTTTTTGAGTTTCTGTTTTTTGGCCCACACCTGGTGGTGTAGATCACTGGGGTTGGCAGCATGCTAGGTAGGCGTTATACCCCCGTACTGCCTCTCTGGCGCCCTCCCCCCTCTCATTCTATCTTTGAGAACACTTCTAAATCATTAAAAAGGTTTTGGGGGCCTCCCAACCATTGGGACCAGGCCCAGATATTTTTGGTCACCCAGGTGAGTCAGTCAGTGCTGGGGCCTGAGGAGGGGGAGGTGGTGCTCAGTCCTTGTGCTGTGGATGACCCAGGCCACCATGGTAGTGAGGCGGTCCTCTTCTGGGGCTGCACCTGGTGATGCTTGGGGGACCACTTGGTTTTGGGGATCGAACCAGAATCAACCACCTGTAAGGCACGTGACTTAATCTGTATTTCATCTCCCTGGCTGCTCCCCTGGTTTTTCCTCTTTTTCATTTATGGCCATTCTGGTGGGGGGTGGGTGTTGGGCTTCCTGCATGGGCCTCTGCCTTTGATGCCGTCTGCCCATCCTGAAGAGGTTTTTTTTGTTTTGTTTTGTTGACCACACCTGACAGAGTTGGAGAACATGTCTTTTGCTAGTGGGGGTGGGTGTTAATTACTGTGTTTAAACTCAGAACTTTCCAACTCTTTGAGCCTGGCAAGCTCCCCGTGACGTATTCGATATGCCAGACACAGTAACAACAAAGTCTCAAATGGAGACGTTACTGGGCCCGCTCGAGCAAATCGATGATCAACGGGAGGGCCTTTACCTTTACCTTACCTTTACCCTGATGCTGAAATTTTATTTTTTGTATCCTTTTGGTTTCTGCAACTCTCTATATCTGACATTCATGGTGCTAATTTCCCTGTTGGTGATTCTGGTTTTGTGAATTGATCATATCTGATTTGTGACTTGCTCCTCTCCCGTTTGTGGGTGCAGGTTTTGTTAGGATGGATTGTAGGGCAATCCCCGGTGGTCTGTATGGCCAGGTGCAATGGTCTCTGTTCTGGGAAGTAGCTGCAGGGTGCCATTTCGCTTCTTGGACCCACGTGCCTGTCCTCAGGAAGACTGCCTCTGTAGGGGAGCAGGTGAGGTGTGGTTCTCAGTAGGGAAAGTGCTGGCCTGTGTAGTTGCCTGTGCACTTCACTGTGAGATCACGGTGCTGGCTTTCACTTCCATGGCACCCATCCCTGTTACAGCTGGAATGGACTGTCTCTTCCTTCTTTATTGATGCTCCTAGTTTTTGATCATTCCCCTCTGGTGGGTTCTGGACAGTGTCACTGTCGTTAGTGACTTAATTCTGCTGATGCTGTCACTTGTTTCCCAGAATGATTTTTGAAGAAAATAAATCAGTAGCTTTAGCTCTCATCATCTTCATAACTCACAGTGTCATAAGGCACATGTGTCGCTACAGTGTGAGGTAGCGACCACCTGCTTGGAGATGGGAGGACAAGTGAGGTTGGTGTGAGCTTCAGCGGATGTTACTCACAGGGTCAGGGGTCAGGGGTCAGGGATGGCCCTCAGGGCTTCACAAATGGCAGCCGTGTGCTGTACCTCTGAGCCACATCCTTGGCTCTGTAGACCATCTTTTTTTTTTTTTTTTTTTGCTTTTTGGGTCACACCTGGCGATGCTCAGGGGTTACTCCTGGCTCATGCACTCAGGAATTGCTCCTGGCGGTGCTCAGGGGACCATATGGGGTGCTGGGAAGCGAACCTGTGTGGGTCATGGCTGCATGCAAGGCAAACGCCCTACCCGCCGTGCTATGGATCCAGCCCCATGTAGACCATCTTAATCCAGTCTCCTGAAGTCTTTTTGTGGAACAGATAGTAAATTCTTTCTTTTTCTTACTTATTTTTTTCCCCTTTCCTCCTGTGTGTGCACGCCCAGTGCTGGCTGCCCTCTAATCCTCTGTTCTATTGAAGTACATTGAAACTTTTTGTGTTTGAGATGTAAGGTGTTTTTAGAGAAATTTATCACTGGGTCTTTTATGTCACACAAGGTTGGGAATTTTCTCTTTCCATAGTTTGAGTGCTAAGCTGGAGCCTGTTAATCAGAATCACACACTCCCAGCCCCCACCCCAACCTTCTATTTTCGGGCACAAGGTATGAAATTGTCACTGATTTGGGGGCTGGGGGTGCTGCCTCTGGTACTGAGGACTGCAAAAGCGCATACTCTGCCTGTTGAGCTATTTCTGTGGCCCTGAAGTAGCTAATTTGTTAAATGTAACTTTAGTTTTCAGAAAGAAGCTGTTTGCTCTAACACTTTTTTCCTTCTTTGTTTAGTTTTTCCATGGTTTGGCTTGGATATTGGTGGAACCCTGGTCAAGCTGGTTTATTTTGAACCCAAAGACATCACGACTGAAGAAGAGGAGGAAGAAGTGGAAAGTCTTAAAAGCATTCGGAAATACTTGACCTCCCATGTGGCCTATGGGTCCACGGGCATTCGGGACGTGCACCTGGAGCTGAAGGACCTGACTCTGTGTGGACGCAAAGGCAATCTGCACTTTATACGCTTTCCTACTCATGACATGCCTGCTTTTATTCAAATGGGCAGAGATAAAAACTTCTCGAGTCTCCACACTGTCTTTTGTGCCACTGGAGGTGGAGCGTACAAATTTGAGCAGGATTTCCTCACAGTATGCATTTTTTAGCTTATATACAATTTATGGTATATCTGATTGTTAAAAATAATACTAATAGCAGTTGGTGGGGTGATTTCCCATCTGTAAGAGAACTTGAAACTTCTTGAGTCAAATTAACTCCTCATATAAATTAGTGATAGTCAGGGGTTGGTTGTTATGAGAATTGGACCCACTAGAAGCAGAGCCTTTTTGTCTTTTTAGCATGTGAAAGTAGAGGAAGGAACTTCATATGAGTGCCAGCGTCATTAAACCTTGAACAGTGACACCGAAAAATAATTTTAGATTGTTCCCAAGTTCATCTCACTCCATCAGCATATCTCTTGTTTTCCTCTGCTATTTCTTGACATGTTTACTACATCAAACAAAGAGGAAGTCTCATTAGAGCAGTGATTTTTTCAGACCTTAGAGCTGGTGGAGATGACTGACGGCAAAGCTGTTCAAGGTGCCTCTGCGGTGTTCTGTGCTGCACACTTCGTAAGGGCAGTATCTGCATGTGGCTGGCCTTGGGGAGAGTGCTAGCCGGCCGTGGATTTTATTTTCATTCAGTGAGCACTGTAGAGCCTGATCCTTGAGGGTGAACAGGAAGAGTGGGTAGAGGTAAAGGAGAGAGTAAACAAGGGAATTGACCAAGATTCTGACCTTCAGCGCCCTGAAGGTCAGAATCATAATGTAGAATTGACATGAGTTGTTTAACAAGATTTCATGTTCTTGGATTTCTCCTGTTGCTGTTTTGTGGTATCTTTTCCATCTGAGTAAAGAAGGGAAAAGAAGAGGTTTCCCTTTTTTGTGGAAATCTCTGTAGTGGACTTTGGACTGTAACTAGTAGGTTAAGGAGAAGACTTTTGAATTGCCAGGACCCTGTTGAGGTGCTGTTTGGAACTTACTTGAAAACTACCCACAATTTTTCTGGAGGCCCATTGTTGCTTAGTGGTCCAAGTTAGGTGGAGTTTATTTTGTACTTTAGGAGTTGGTCCATAGCCAGTTGGCATTTCTCATTTGTATGTACCAGCACTATCCTCATAATTGAAAATGCAGTGTCTGTCAGCTGCCCTTTGTGCATTAGGAGAAATACTTAATCAACCCCAGTGAAAAAAATTTTTTTTTTAAATAATGAATTTATCTTTTTTGGGGAGGAAGAGCACACCAGTCAGTGCTTGGGGCTTACTCCTGGCTCTGTGCTTAGGAATCACTCCTGGCGGGCTCAGGAGACCATATGCGGTGGCCAGGGATTGAACCTGGGTCTGCCTGTGTGCAAGCAACACCCTGCCTGCTGTACTATTGCTCTGACTCCGCCCTGTTTCTTTTTAATGTGATTTGTAACTTAATATTTAGGTTGGGATTCAGGCTAATACTTAAGGGTATTGTGAACTCAGAGGAGGATAAAAGGATGTCCTGGTTTGACCTACAATGACAAGACTGCTTGGCTTCCCAGAGGCCACCAGTGTGAAATAATTTTGCTTGGGAATGAAAATGCTGGCACTCAAGACTCAAGTGTCAGGACATTGGTATTTTTTTGAAATGATATTGGCAGGGAGACCATGACAGATGAAACCTAAGACTAGCTTCCAGGGTTTGGATTTGGCCAGGGAAGTAAATTAATATGCTTTTTTGTTTGGGGGCCACACCCAGTGGTATTGGAGGTTACTTCTGGCCCTGTGCTTAGAGGTCACTCCTGGTCATACTGATTGTGTGGTGGATGAAACCTGGGACTCCCACACACATAGAATATGCACTCAGCCTGTGGCGCTCTCTCCCCTCCGGCTCCAGTAACTTAGTCACGGTCATGGTCTTCCCGTTGTTCATCGATTTGCTCGAGCGGGCCCAGTAATGTCTCCATCATGAGACTCGTTGTTACTGTGTTTGGCATATTGAATATGTCACGGGCAGCTTGCCAGGCTCTGCCATGTGGGCGACATACTCGGTAGCTTGCCGGGCTCTCTGAGAGGGGCGGAGGAATCGAACTCGCGTCGGCCATGTTGGCTGCATGCAAGGCAAATGCCCTACCCGCTGTGCTATCGCTCCAGCCTGAGTAACTTAGTATTTTATTTATTTTTTACAATTAGTGATTACTTTATTATTTTGACCTTGTAAACAAGAAAGGTAAAAGGTAAAGGCCCTCCCGTTGATCGTCGATTTGCTCGAGCGGGCCCAGTAACGTCTCCATTGGAGACTTTGTTGTTACTGTGTCTGGCATATCGAATACTCTCGGTAGCTTGCCGGGCTCTCCGAGAGGGGCGGAGGAATCGAACTCGGGTCGGCCATGTTGGCCGCTTGTAAGGCGAACGCCTTACCCGCTGTGCTATCAAAATTAAAACCAATTTAATACAATATAAAATGCCTATTCTCATATACATATATATATGAGTGTATATGTGTTAACATAGTATTCTGTAAAGGCATTATTCAGGATTAAGATGAAGTTACTGATAACTTGTGTTATTAGTAACATGACTTGGAATAAATGGAAGGTGGATGTGACCAAATGGGAGTTGACTCAGAGCTTGTCGGGCCAGGCCTGGTGAGCTAGGTGCTGGTAGGGGTTGAGGCATCTTTACTCACATTGTGTGTACATGGGTTCATAAAGTGGAACATGGATCTTATTTCTTATTTTGTACCTCTCCAAAGTCATTTTTTCAGGGGAGGTATTGGACCAGAGGTATTAGACCAGGGAGTGCTCTGGGGTGCTTCTCCACTTGGTACTCAGGAGCAGTGCTCGGGAGCGTGTGGTTCCCAATATTGAACCTTGGTCTCCCCATGTGCAAAATGTGTTACTCAGCCCTTTGAATAGTCTTCTTGACCTCTTTCTGATTTTCCTAAGTTAGGCTACATGTAGTGCAGCGTGCTTATAAACTTGGTATTATATGTTTATTTTGGTTTGGGGCCATACCTGATGGGGCTCAGGAATCACCACTGGAGTGCTTAGGAGACCATATTTACTGCCAGTATTGAACCTGGGTCAGCACAGGCAAGGGAAATGCTTTGACCTTTCTTAAACCCTAAAGTTGGTTTTAAAGATAGGGAAATTGGTGGGGCTAGAGAGGGAGTATTGTGGGTAAAGCACTTGCCTTGCATGCAGCCAGCTTGGGCTTGATCCCTGGTAACCTGTTTGGTACCCTGAGCACTGCTGGGTGTGACTGCAAAACAAAACAAAAATTGGGGCTGGACAGATTGATGGCACAAAACTAGGAATAAGCCCTAAACCTGAGCACCACGAGGTGTGGCCCAGACTCCCTCCACCCCCCCTTCAAAACAGGGAAAATTAAATATTTTATAAAAGTGTTTCTCAAGTGTCTCCCCCCTTACGAAAAAAAACTATCAAGTGTTCAGTTCTTTTTTATTGTTGGTTCTGGGGAATCAGGAGTTGTCATGCCTATTGTGTTTGGGGGCTCATGTGGTGCTTGGGGGCTGGAGCGATAGCACAGTGAGAAGGGTGTTTGCCTTGCACGTGGCCAACCCGGGTTCGATTCCTCCGCCCCTCTCAAAGAGCCCAGCAAGCCACCTAGAGTATCTCGCCCGCACGGCAAAGCCTGGCAAGCTGCCCGTGACATATTCGATATGCCAAAACAGTAGCAACAAGTCTCACAGTTTGTTGTGAGACATTACTGGTGCCCGCTCCAGCAAATCGATGAGCGGGAGGACAGTGCTGCAGTGGTGCTTGGGGTTGAAATGGGGCCTTCCACACGCAAAGCATGTGTAGAGCCCATTGAGCCTTCTCTCTGGGTCTGAGAGGAGCATTTTAACATTAGATATTGTACAAGTTCCTCCCCTCCAGGGGCTCCTGATGAATCTAGCGAGTGAGAAGTCTGACTGGCCACTTTCAAACTTGCGTCATCAGGTTATTGACTAGAGAAGCGTGGCTTACTTTACTACGCTTCCTGGAAGGCGAGGGTCAGGATCCTTGCAGCCTCTGCTGTATGGCACCGTGTGCCTGCCTCACTGGGCAGTCTGAAGCCTGCTCGGACGGACCCATTGCCATCGCTGTGCCCCTGACTCAGTCTTTGAGCAGATGCCTGATGTTTTGCTTGAATGTAGGCACATTTTCCCAGCGGCTGGTGTGTGGGCTGTGTGGGAGTAGGGGCACATTGTGTCAGCTGTCCCTGTGTGTTGTTTCTAGACCCATCCTGGGTGCAAGGCATGCACGGATGATGCGCATTTGTGAGCATCGTCGTGGTTGTTTTCAATGTAAAGAGGGAATGCTTTGTTTCAAATGGAGTTCTCTGTTTGAATTATTATTAAAAAGTCGGAATGTGTTTTTGTTTCACAGATAGGTGATCTTCAGCTTCGTAAACTTGATGAATTAGATTGCTTGATAAAAGGAATTTTATACATTGACTCAGTTGGATTCAATGGACGGTCACAGTGCTACTACTTTGAAAACCCTGCTGATTCTGAGAAATGTCAGAAGTTACCATTTGATTTGAAAAATCCATATCCTCTGCTTTTGGTGAACATTGGCTCTGGGGTTAGCATCTTAGCAGTCTATTCCAAAGATAATTACAAGCGCGTCACAGGTACCAGGTAGGTGTGAAGGTCATTGTTTACTTTTGATGTGTAGAGTGTAAAACAAATCTTCAGGTAGAAAATAGAAGTCTCCTTTTAAGGACCTGTTATAATGATGTGAAAGAGGGACCAGAATTGTGGTGCACGTGGTAGAGCACACTGGGCAGTGGCGAGGCCCTGGGTCTGACCCCTGGTGCTGCATGGCCCCTGGTGCCTGTCAATGCTGGGTTGGGCTCCTGCCATACACTGGCAGTGCCAAAAAACTGAAAAATGAAAGTTTTTTTCCCCCTGACGTTATGAAAACGTTTCTGTTGTAAAAGTCTGATTTTGTGACCTAATTCTCTTTGCTATTCAAAATTTCATAAAAAATTTTTCTTTTTATAAAATACCTTATCAGTGGACGACTCATTGAGCTTATTGTCCCATCTCCGAGTATGGGACAGTGCACAGTAAAGTGATAAAACTTACGTGGTAGTATCTGTGTGGAGAAGGCAAGAGATCAGTTTTGAAACCAGCATAGATCTTAGATCTTCTGCGTGCACATTCACACCACACACACAGCCAGGGGACAGTTTTTGTTTTTTTTTAAATCATTTTTTTTTTATTGGAATCACTGTGAATTACAGTTATTCTATTAAGTTTCAGAGTTTTAAGATACAGTGTTTCAACACCGGCTCCTTCCCCAGTGTCCTGAATTTCCCTTCTGTCCCCAGCCTACCTCTGTGGCGGGCACTTTTTCCTCCACTGCTCTTCTAGTGTTCCCTTCTCTCACCCCCACCCTAGTGGCAGTCTTCTTTCTGAAGACTAATTCTTTTGCTCTTCATTTCTCTTGCCTTTGGGCATTTGTTATTCCCCAGCTGTGTTTCTTTATATTCTGCATATAGTATCATCCTATGTCTGTCCTCCCTCCAACTTCACTCAGCATGGCACTCCCCAGATCTGTCCACGTAGCAGTAAATTGCATGACTTCATCTTTTCTTATGGCTGAGTAGTATTCCATTGTGTCTATGTACCACAGTTTCTCTACCTCTTCATCTGTCCCTGGGTACTTGGGTGGCTCCAGATTTTGGCTATTGTGCTAGTTCTGCAATGAACATGGCAGTGCAGGCATCTCTTCTGCATTATGCTCTAGGGAGCTTAGGGTACAGTGTGATAGTTATATGTTGCGGTGCAAGAAGTAGGAAAAGGATGGGGGAGGGTACTCATACAAGGGAGGCTTAGGTGGCAGTTGAGAAAGTATATGTTTGGATTTCAGAATCAGAGATCACGAGGAAAAACAAGTTGAGAATTGGGATAAACACAACTTTTAATAAAATGAAGGGGATACTTTTGATTTATTTTGTAGTTTGGACCACACGTGTATACTGGGGGGCAGGGGTCACTCCAGGCGATGCTTGGGGGAGATGCTGTGTGAGGGATGGACCCCGGGCCTCCTGCATGCACAGTGTGTGCTCTGCTCCAGTGCTCCGGCTTGGAAGGAAAGGTTCAGTGTTGAGGGGAAAACACTTTCATGAAGAAATTTTGGTAAGTTAGGTGGTTATTAGTGAGGGTGATAGGTTGCTTGCATGGGGACAACTGTGGCAAGGACTTGGGGAGGAGGTGGGGCCCCATGAATGCACATTTTTGTCATGTCTATGGGCACCTTGTTGTTTTCACAAAATTGTTTCCTTTTGGTGGCCTCTGCGTGGCGGGCTTGAGGCAAGTGCAGGTCAAGAATATGGCTTTGAATTTGTAAATATTTCCTTCCTGCTTTTAACGCTGTTACAATATCTTGTTTTTACTGCAGTCTTGGAGGAGGGACTTTTTTTGGTCTCTGCTGCCTTCTCACTGGCTGTACCACTTTTGAAGAGGCTCTTGAAATGGCGGCTCGTGGAGATAGCACCAAAGTGGATAAGCTAGTGCGAGACATTTATGGAGGGGACTATGAGAGGTTCGGACTGCCGGGCTGGGCTGTGGCTTCAAGGTAAGGTGGGGGCACATGTGTCTGAGAAATTAAAAATAAGATATTGGAACTTGACTTCCATTTATTTCAGACATTACATACTATAAAGTCACCTTGTGGAGTTAGAGATTTCTTAGATTCTAGAATATTTACAGAACATAATCCAGTTTCAGAACATTTTTGACATCTTAGAAGCTACTTTGCATCTCTTAGCTATCACTTCACTTCCTCACTCTCTGATCCCTGCTAAGCGCTCACCTATTCTATCTTTGTAGATAAGTAATAAGTAAGTAAAGGCCCTCCCGTTGATCATCGATTTGCTCGAGCAGGCCCAGTAAAGTCTCCATTGGAGACTTTGTTGTTACTGTGTTTGGCATATATGACACTGTTTGTCATTACAAAGTTACATTCAAGTTGCCAGGCTCTGCAGTGCTGGGGAGATACTCTCTGTAGCTTGCCGGGCTCTCCGAGAGGGGTGGAGGAATCGAACTCGGGTCGGCTATGTTGGCTGCGTGCTAGCACAGCGGTAGGGCGTTTGCCTTGCACGCAGCCAGCCTGGCTGAGCCGGGTTCGATTCCTCTGCCCCTCTCGGAGAGCCCGGCAAGTGACCGAGAGTATCTCGCCCGCACAGCGAAGCCTGGCAAGCTACCTGTGACATATTATACATGCCAAACACAGTAACAAGAATTCTCAAAATGGAGACGTTACTGGGCCCCCTCGAGCAAAATCGATGAACAGTGGGAGGACAGTGACAATCTTTGTAGATACATATGCCTATTCTGGACACTTTCTAGAAGTGGTATCATATATAGGTGACTTATTCTTGCTATTTATTATTTTGGTTTTACGTACTTAGGTTTTGGTGATGCTCAAGGGCTGACTTTGAGCACTGTGCCTAAGGATCACTCCTTCTGGTGCTTTGGGGACCTTATGGGGTGCTGAGAATTGAACTCCAGTAGGCCACGTGCAAAGCAGACATTCTACCTGCTGTACTAGTGCTCTGGCTTCAGGGGCACCCAGTTTTTAATAATTGGAAATGTACTAATTATACAAATATTCATTAATATTTGGCACTTAGTGCTGTAGATTTTATTTCCTATGTTTGCTACATTTGCTCATTGGTAATCACTGCTGTGTCTGTTTGGGTGTGTGCTCTGGTCACTGTTACTAACGTAGTCTTGCCATCAAGTGCTTTGAGGTACTTTATCTTCTCGGAAAATCTGAAACACTCAACTCTTGACAGTCATCTTTGCACTTTGTGTTTTTCCCATGAAGCATTTTATCAGCTTGTGAATGGACCCATTGAGCTGAGCAGCTGTGCTATCAGAGACCGATGCGAATAGAGGGGTTTTCTGGAGCTCTCTGTTGCCAAAGGGGGTAGTGTTGCCTTTCATTGGATTTGATAGGATCCCAAAGTTAGATATCAAAGTTAGATTTCTTGAAAATTATAGGGGTAGTTAGCTGTTGGCTCACAATTCACCCTTAAGGCTCTGTTAAGAACTTTTGTCTCTGAGCTGGTGCTATTACTTTGTAATCAAAATTGGAAAACTTAGAATGTTGCCTGAAAAGTTGCTTTTGTCATTACTAAGTTACATTCAAGTTGTTATGGTCTGGGTTTCCTGACTTCAAGCAATGAGATTTTTTTCTCTCCATCACAGCTTTGGAAACATGATGAGCAAAGAGAAGCGGGAGGCGGTCAGCAAAGAGGACCTGGCCAGAGCTACTTTGATCACCATCACCAACAACATTGGCTCCATAGCCAGAATGTGTGCCCTTAACGAAGTAAGGGGATTCGGATTTCTCGGGCTGCGCAACACCCGGCTTGCGCTTCGTGGGCTCCTGCTTGTGTGCAGCTGGTCTCCCCTCGGCACCGATGGAGTCACGGAGTCACGCGGGGTGGAGTTTCTTTCTCCTACCGAGGATAAACGCTGCTGAGGCCCAGTAGAGAAGTAGAGGCAGGGAGGCAGGCTTAGTGTGTCCTGCAGATCATGGGGACTCTTGAGTGGTGGTGACAGGTGGTGAACCATGCCGAATCGTACCCCGGCTCTCGGCCGAGTCCTCAGTCCCCGGGAAGGGAATCCAGAGGAAGTCTGGGAGCAGACCGAGTGGCAGAGGAAGGTCGCCTGCTCCCCCCACTGCAGCGCGCTGTCTTCGTGCTTTCAGCTTCTTTACAGTGCTGCCTTGTAGCATTCGGGTCAAGCAGCATTGTACAGGGCTATGAAAGAACCAAGAATGGCCTTCCAGTGGGCGCCTGGCGGGGCAGCGTTAGACACCTATCCCTGTTGACGCAGTGTGGATTAAAGTCATTGTCTTAGTAGTTTAGGCATGGGCCTCAAAAGGTACAAAGGATTTGTTGCAGTTTTAGCGAAAAAGAAGCTGCATCAGCATCCAATAATTAGATTTAGACAAGAGAATATCTTAATATTGCTGTTTTCTTTTTTTTTGCATGCTTCCTTTCTTGCCTTATCCAAAGACATTTTATTGGTGTACATAAAATTTCTAATATTTAAATAGTATTCATGACCATATATTTTAATTTTTTTTTAATCTATCAGAAGTAGTTCATATAAAGCTGGCATTTGGTTGTTTACTGATGGTTGCTTCAAAGAGAAGCATTTAAATACTACTCTTTGAATTTTATTGTTAAGGGACTTACCAAGGAGTGTGATTTCTCACCTAAAGAGTATAAATACTGATATATATCACCACAGTCCAATAGCAGTAAATGACTGAGTGAATGTTTTTCTACAACTTGACTAATGTGGGTGAAGTTTCAGTTGTTTTACTAACTTTAAATAGATCTAAGTTCTTTGATTAGTGAGGTTTAATTTTTTATATATATTTAGATAATTTGCCTCATTGTGTCACTTATTTTGAATTGGGTTTTTAACCATGTAAGTGTTTACCTCATAGTAATTGTCATATTGAACACAAATGTTTTTTATCTCATTTGTTTTCTCTTGTGTTATTTTCTGATGTTCTTTGTGCTGGGTCTGATTTCAGTAGCTTTGGCTCAGTTGGGCAACATGTGCGCTGTGGGGATAGCTCTTAGGAGGGAACAGAGATTACCTTGAAAACTAATTTCCTTTTTCTGATGTGCTCAGAACATTAACCAGGTGGTATTTGTTGGAAATTTCTTGAGAATCAATACGATCGCCATGCGACTTTTGGCATACGCTTTGGATTACTGGTCCAAGGGCCAGTTGAAAGCCCTTTTTTCGGAACACGAGGTAAGCAGGTTTCTTTCTTGTGCTGTGTCACTCTCATGCAGGCCTTAACCATTCACGCTGCTTTGGAACTTGATCAAGGTGAATGGTCTGCAGTTCTTCTAATTTATGTAATCACATAATCAAGGGCTTAATGGTAATGTTTAAAAGCTGTGTGTATATGTGTGTGTGTGTGTGTGTGTGTGTTTTCAAGGCTTCTCCTGGTTCTGTGCTCAGGGTGTGGTGCTTTGGGGACCAGGAATTGAACCCAGGTCACCTGTGTGCATGGCAGGTACCCTGCCTGCTGAGCTGCCTCTCCAGCTCCACAAGTTTTTTCTTCTTTCTTTTCTTTCTGTTTTTTTGTTTGTGCGGCAATGCTTAGGACCTTCTCCTGGCTCTGCACAGAAATTACTCCTGGAAGTGCCTGGGTGGTGCTGGGGACGGAACCTGGGTCAGACACAGGCAAAGCAAGCGCCTTCCTTACCCACCGTGCTATTGCTCCAGTCCCTTCTCTTTTTAAGTGTGGGGTAGGGATCAAATCTGATTCTCACACATATGAGCCTTGTACTGCAGTCAGTTCAGTTTGTGTCTCAGTGCATGTGGTTTATGTGTGGAGAGTGATTGCACAGTCAGTTCAGCCAAGGTGCATCTTCCCATAAAGGAGACAGTGAAGCAGAAAGAAAGGAATGTCTTCTGTGACAAGAACTCTGGACCTTCCCTTATGCTTGCCTGTGTATAACAAGGCAGTGTCAGCAGTAGTTATCACATAGATGGTGTTTGTACATTCTCAGTACTTCTTTGCCTTTTAACGGCAAGTTTGTGCCTTTGACCACCTTCGTTGTAACTTTTACAGTTTGTTCTTTATTGCTCACACTTTACTTTCCCCTTTGGCTAGCATTGCTGGTCTGTTTGTGCTATTGGTGCATGGTGGAAGTTTATTTTAGGTTCTGAGATTTGAAATACTCTCCTGCCTACACACTGAGAATGGCTGCAGAGATAGTATAGCAGTGAGGGCGCTTGTCTTGCATGTTGCCCATCTAGATTCGATTTGGGGCAGAGTATGATCCCCTACGTACCACCAGAGCATAGAGCCCAGGAGTAAGCCCTGAGCACAGCCAGGTGTGGTTCTAAAACAAGTATCCATCCCCTCCTCCTAGAGCTATTGCAAAAGTCTCTCATGGATTGTTCTCAAGCTTTTCTTTTTCTGTTAGTTCAGAGGCTTGTGGGGGTGTGGTGGGCCACATCTGGTGATTATCTAGGATGCTCTAATGTGGTGCTTTGGGAGCCATGCTGAGGTAAGGATCAGTTCTTGGCCTCCAGAATACACAGGAAGTTCAAGGCTGAGCGCTCTCCCTTGGCCCTCTGATTCTTTACTGTTCTCACATCTATAACAGCCTTTCTCTGTCTTTTACTCAGTAGTAAATTCTGTCTTCAGCGGAACTCATGGGAATGGTTCATTTCTTTTGCTAGGAAATAAAGCATATATCCAGAAAGCCACAGTGTGGATTTAATGAACACCTTGACTGTCTGGGGACTTGGAGCTTTGCTGAGTCTTGTGGAGCTGTCACCCATCCCTCAGTTTCAGGCCCTGCAACTTGGTGTGTCCACTTTTGAAAACCAAGACATGGAGTGGAAGGGGAGATTGAGGATCAGTCTCTGTTCAGCATTCTTGGAGTAGCCTTTACTAGGAAATTGACTGAACCTTAGTTATGAATAATATTCAGAGGATTTTTTTTTAATTAAAAATGCTTTTGAGGCACCCAGGTGGTCCTCAGATGGCCCAGAGGCCCCTCCTGCCCATTTTCTAATCACTGGCCAGCAGTTCAGTGTTTGGGCCCTGTGGTACTGAGGGCCCTATGCGGTGCTGGGGATCCAGCCATATCAGAGTGGCTGTACTATCTCCCCGGCCCTACTTAGAGAGACTTCTAAGAACTAGAGAGATGGCACAGGGATGAGGACTCTTGCCTTGCACAGAGCCAACCCAGGTTCAGTCTCTGGCACTCTGTCATCTCTGGGCATAGCCAGATGTGACCCCAAACCCAAAAAAGTTTAAAAAAAAAAAGGACTTAGTACATGCTTCAGAGTTCATAAACAAGTATTGGACGACTTTCCAGTATCATATCCTTTCTCCTAAAGCATTTCATTCCTGATTTCATCCATTGGGCCTTGATTGGGCATTGAGACTTGCGGGCTCTGGCATTCTGTGCCAGTGTGGGCTTTGTCATGTTGCCCGTTATACTTAGTATTTAAGAAGCTTTTTTTCGGGGGGCCCAGAGAGATAGTACAGTGGATAGGGTGCTTGCCTTGTACACCACCAACCTGGGTTTGATCCCTGGCATCTTATGGTTCTGCCTGGTTCACCACCAGGTGTTGATCCTTGAGCACAGAGCCAGGAGTCAGCTTTGAGCATAGTGAGGTGTAGCTCAAAAACAAACAAGTTTTATTTTGGTTATTGCCAACCGTGTCTTGGTTCTTGGTCATCCTTGCGCACAATTTCTTCTGGAGCTGTCCTCACTCACTCCAGCCTCTGTGTGCCCCTCAGGCACCTCTGGTGTGGGCCCCGTCGCATGTTGCCTGAGGACACTGCTGTCCCCCACCTTGGCCACTGTTTCAGCATCCTTGTGCTTTCGGTGTGTGCTGCGTATGGCACCTGGGTCTCGCATGTATGTGGGAAGCCTCCCTCCTCTCTCCGTGTCTGGTGGGGCTTAAGGATTAGCTCAGAGCTTACCAGTTCTCAGGGGTGGTCTCACCGGACCCTCCTCTGCTGTCTGCTCTCATGTCTGGGGCAGACTCTTGTGTCTGTCCCAGCCTCGCCCAGGAGACCCTCGGGAGCTCCTGTGGTTGCCCTGGCTTGTCCTGCTTCACTGCACTCGATACCGATCCCCCAAGTGCTCCAGGCCTCATCTCCACTGCCCAGGGCACAGCCCAGGTGCCATCCCAGGTGCCATCTCTTGCAGAGGTCCTTGAGTCAGGACGCTCCCTGCCTGATGACTGTGCTACCCCTCTTCACTCCTTCTTCCTCCTTGGAGCCGCTCCCGGGCAGGCCTTGGACTCAGCAGCACAGGGCTTAGGAAGTGGGACTCAAGAATCCAGGCCAGTGGCTGAAACCGAGGAATTGCGCGCACAGTACTGATGTCCATGGGAAGTTGCTTACTGTTTGTTTGTTTTCCCCCCAGGGTTATTTTGGAGCTGTTGGAGCACTTCTTGAACTGCTGAAGATGCCCTGATCGTTACTGAGGCAGGTTTCCTGGAACCTTCCACACTGGGATCTGTGGACTTTTTTTTTTTTTTAAGAGACTTCATTTTTTTGATTGTGTACTACCTGAATCAAAGCAAGAAAGGACAAGTGTATTTTTCTAAGTCATCAAGATAAATTCTTAAAAAATTTCAGTCTGAAGTAGTAATCCAGCAAGGAAAGAACAAAACAAAACCCTAGTGGCCTTGCCGTAGCAGTGGGGATTTGCCACGTGTGGGTCGCCTCCGAGTGTGGCCTCCTTAATGCTGCTGCTTCCCGAAATTCAGCATCACTCACCGGAGTCCCTTCAGGGGAGCTGTTCTGTGTTGGCTGTGTCGTGTTTGAACTTGCTCTATGTAAAGCAAGCCGCTATGTGTTACAATCTAAAGCGCAATGTTGTCAATATGGCCTTGGAGAGCCTCTGTGCATTCACTCTGCTGTATGTAGTCTTGGTGTACCGTGAAACAGGTTTTATTTCAAGGTTCTGCAGACGTCACCAGACAGGCTAACTTTCTGCCATTGAACTCTGGTGAGGAACTGGCAGGCAGTCGGTCAACTCTGGGTGTCTTTGCCCAGTAGTAAGCGTGGGGAGGGAGAGATCTGCAGTACGCAGCTGCCTCCAGGGAACCCAGGCTGGGCCTGAGGGAAGTGAGTCCAGTCTGCTAGTCAAGAAAGCCAGCAGACTGTGCCAGGCGCCACGTGGCCTGGAGCCCACATCTTTGCAGGGAAGATCTGGATATTCATTCAGGATGGTGGGAATGGAGGACTTTGGATTGCCCACTGACCAGGCCTTGGGGAGCCAAGGGTTTCTCCTTGCCCTGGTTTCCAGCCGCCTGGTGGGCAGATGCTGGGGGAGCTGGCATCAGACTCAGAAGGTGGCTGGAGAGAGGTTTTGATAGTGACTGACGTTTAAGATTAAAAATAATTGTGGGGTCTACTCAAGGCTGTGACCTGGCTGGTGGTGCTGGGAGGGGGACATCAGGGTCACACCCCGCAGTGCTGGAGGGGGCACAGGGGTGCAGTGGGACCCAGACCTGTGCTCCGCTGCTTGAGTGCCATCCCAGGCTCTGGCTGGGAACATTCTGTTTCTGCTGTGCAGATAATTTAGAAAACCTGTCCTGAAGATGGAGCAAACTTTGTATCTTAATTTTGTATGTTTGGTTTCTGCACCATTGTTGAAGGCAATAAAGGGCAGTATAACTCCGCTTTTGCACGGAAAGGAACCCCCAAAGCTCTGGGACCTCCGGGTGGGCCTTAGGTAGAGTACAGCTGGGCGACCACACGGGATGGTGGGTGGGCTATGCCAGGAGCCCCCCCATCCTGTGCTCTGTGCAACACAGTGTCCGTCCCCTTGGGGGCAGCAGAGATCCATGCCCGCTGTGGGCTGAGGCGAAGCAACCGAGAGGCCCTGTGGGGCCGCTGCAGCCCTGGGTTGGGGGTGTTCCTGACCTACCCCGACTGCAGAGCTGGAGGGGGCTGGGGGCAGGGGGGTGGTGATTGGCGTTTGATAGTGACTCAGTGCTGCAGACCCTGGCGCTGCTTCTGGGCATTAGATGCTCTGGTTCATCCCTCTGCCCTCAGGTGGGCTTTACACTCGCCCCACCTTCCACCTCATGGCCACGAAAGCTTGTGCCAACACTCAAGCTTGCCTCCCTCAGGCCACCCCTGGGGCAGAGGTCTTTGGAGGAGGCAGACCAGGGGGAGCCAGCTGCTTCCTGTGGAGACGAACACGGAGCTGGGTCGTGCTTTCCCAGGTCATGCAGTCCTCCTCCAGGGGCTTCCCCCTCCCTGGCCGCCTCTTCCCAGTGTCTTCCCGTGAGCTGCCTCCCAGGTCTTTGTGCGCGTCCCCGTTTCTGGTGGGTCGCATCCAGTCTTCTTACTCGGTGCTGTGGCCGTGGCATGTCACTTGAAGGACTGCCGAGCCCTCCCTTCCAGCCTTCACTCCCAGTACTGCAGGGCTCTTGCTTTTGCCGCTCCTTCCCCGGCTCCTGGTCTCTGCCAGCCGATTCCTCCCCAAGGACCGTTAGTCCTTGCCTGCTCCCAGGCTCTGCCCAACTTCTCCCTCTGCTGCTCTTGGTTGGGACTGATTTTCAGTGCAGGATGCTGGGCCCAGCTCTTGCCTCTGAGCTCTGGCTCCAGCAACACCTGCCTTCCCTTCTCCACTTGTGCTGAGTGTGTGTGGTCCAAACCTGTCCACTGCCTGGCCCGTGAACTCCTGCCACTCTGAAGCTTCCTGCCACTCATCCAGCTTGGGCGCTGCTTTGTCAACTCTGCAGTCACCGCTGTGGCCACCCCCTGGGCTAAGCCCTGTCCCATGTCAGGCAGTGGGGCGGGGGATCCTGACGTACCTCATGGTCAGTAGTGAGGTGAGGTGTGGTAAGTGCATGTGGTCCTGTGAAGCCTTGGGGCTTGTTGGGGAGGTGGCATTTTGGACGCTCCATTTTGTGCCCTGTGGCTGGTATGCGAGTTGGAGGTGAAAGGTCACGGTGGTGTGCATGTAGATTAGTAAGCTTAGGTGGTGGTGCAGCCAGTGCCAGGGTAGAGGGGGAGATGGGGCAAAAAGGGTTCGGCTGGGAAACAGTTGCGAGGGGCGAAAGGGGGTGGCGAGGGCTTCCCAGGTCCTTGTATCAAGAGTTGGTTTAAGAGGCCAGAACGGTTGCGTGAACATGAGCGGGAGAGGAGCAGTTTCCCCAGGCTATGGGATGCAAAGGGGCGTGGCCAGGGGGGCCAACTGGGGACCAGGCTGGAAGGCTGGTGTTTCCAGGCCTGGGAATGGTCAGAAGGTTAGGGCTCCTGTCACCTTCCCCTCTGAACCCCAGGCCAGGACGTGGTGGACACCCAGCTCGCCATTTGCACTCATACCATGGCAGGGACAGCTCTCGGCTCCTCTATCTCCCCCTGCCAGTCCCCTCAGACCAGCCCCTCCTGGCCAAGGCCACACCTTGACGGCCAGCTTCTGCTATGTGAACGCCAGCAAGGGCTAGGGGTCCACCGGTCCCCCGAAGCTGAGGGTCCATGTGCCACACGAAGTTTTCAGAATCTGCCTTTTATTTACAGTTGTTTAAGTCAATTACATGCATGGTTTGTTCTTAAAACAAGTAATTAGCCAAAAATGCATTACAATTTTAAAATAGCAATTAAATATACAAAAATATAGCTTACAAAAAAAACTGCGAATGTTTAAAAATATTCTGCTGCAGAATTCTTAGTGTACAAACACGTCTATGAAACCTGAGGCAGGCTCAGCATTTCATAAACCTTTTGAGGGAGTTACACAATCGTAATCGTGATTAGGCCGCAATGGGCTAAAAACACCAAGATTAAACTACCCTTCCTGGCAATGATGTCCTGGTACTGGGGGACCCGCAGTCTTTGGAGCCTGTGTCGGACCTGTCGCTGCGGAGGTGAGCATGGAGTGGGCTGAAACTGAAATGTACTGCACAACCTCCTCACCCCCCCTTTGTTCTGTGCCCAAGTGGAAGCACGCATGGGTGCACTCAGTCATCTGTTCCACAGAACCAGGAGTGTGTTTCAGTGACCAGCCCCTCTGTGAAAGACACCAACTCATCACCTGATGGAAGGCTGGAGTTTCACATACAACTTCTTTTCAAGTCTTGGTTCATATAGTCAGGTTGCATTTTTTTTTTTTTTTGTTTTGGCTTTTTGGGTCACACCCGGTAATGCTCTGGGGTTACTCCTGGCTGTACATGGAGGGACCATAAGAGATGCCAGGGATCTACTGCCTGCCAGGCAAACACCCTCCCCATTGTATTTTCACTCTGGCCTGCCCCACAAGTTGCATTTTTAATCCGGAGAGTTCTTGGGCTGCTCTGGGCGCTGGATGTTAGGGAGGTGGGTGAGGATAAAGTAAAAGTCCCTCCCAGGTTGTCTGGTGGATGCAGATTTAACTTGATTCTTCTGCAGGGGCAGCAACAACAACAAAAAGCATCTTAAAAGGTTAATGATGGGGTATTGGCTAAGAATGCCCAGTGAGAATTCTGTGGGAAGCATGTACTCAGCATGAAGAGATTCAGGAACTTGGACACTCATGTGTAGTTATGGTTAATTCTGAGATGGCACCTGAGGCATCTGAAGCACTCCTCCCCCCTTGTGTGTGTGTGTGCACACACACGCACACTGAACACTCGAAAACCATGCCTTTAAGTACCTGATGCATCTCCTGCCCGCCTCAAACACCTGGGAGCAATCTAAGAAACCACGACAGCTGGAGATGGCACCACTGCTGGGTGCTTGGGTCAAGAGAGCGAGTGGGACTGACCAGACGCCAGCCAGAGTCTGCCCTTAAATGACCACGGTTGGGAGGGGCTGCAGCTGCTAACATGTATTAGAAAAAACCCCAAACAACTCAAGGATTCCAGTGTGCTGCAATCACCAAAATGTATTCAGAAGGAATGTGAAGCTGGGGCGGGAGGTGGCACAGTGGGTAAGGTCCCCACACACGGCCAGCGCCAGCACCCCATCTGGTTCCCCAGGTCTGCCAGGAGTAAATCCTGAGCACAGCTGACGTGTCTCTCAACCAAACCCAACAAGTGAAGGCAGAAAGCAAGGCCACCATTTTGGGTGCTCTGTTGATGTTCCCCAGGGATGGTTGTGTCAAATAAAATCCTTGTGTGTCCTCTCACTTGCCTGCGTAGAAGGGAAAAGTGAAAAGCGACAGGGTGTGAAGCTGGCTCTGCCGGAGATCAGATGCAAGTCAGAGGGACTTGTGAAGTACGTAAGAGGATCAAGAATATTCACGACAGCCACTGAGTCAGGAGGTCTTGTGGGCGGGCGGAGACTGGACAAGCAAACTTGAAGGGGAAAAGTGGCGGTGGAGCCCGGGCCTGGGGAACAGCTCTCTCCAGGATGCCCAGCTGGGGGGTCTGAGCGTGGCTTTGAGAGGCCGAATTTACCCTAAGTGCCAGGACCGCCAGTCAACAAGGGGCGATTCCAATCAGCACTTTCTCTGCTAGAGCGCTGGGCATGCTTGGGGGGGGGGGGGGGGGTTCACAACCCCCCAGAAGCCTTTCAGAAGAAAAAAATGAAAAGTTACAGCTCTAGGTTGTGCTGAATGGGTTTAGGCACTGGAGTCCACGGGCTCTGGAGTTGTTCATCCAAAGCCTCTGTCTGAAACCCACCCAGCCGAGCAGTGCCCCAGACTGTTGTGGATAGGAACAGGGCCTGAACTTACTCCTCTGAGGGCCTCGGCAAGGGAAAAGCACCATCTGTCCACAGGGGTGCTGGCCCGGTGGGAGGCCCCTGTGCGCCTCAGCCATCCCTACTGTCCAACTAGGCAAGTACAGAGTTCAAGGTTCTTGTCTAACCAGACCACGGTCCTGATGAAAGGGGGCAGAGAACTTGTGCCTTTTGTCTACTTGGGCAGGGTCAGACTGGTTTGATTCCATATATATATTCTATATATATATATATATCTTTCTATATAGTTTGCTTTTTGGATCAGACCCGGTGGTACTGAGGGGTTACTCCTGGCTCTGCACTCTGCACTCAGGAATTACTCCTAGCAGTGTTTGGGGGACCATATGGGATGCTGGGAATTAAACCCAGGTCGGTAGTGTGCAAGGCAAACACCCTACCCATTGTGCTATCACTCCAGCCCCTTGATTCCATGTCTAAGTCAGCTGAATTCACTCCTACCTCTGGTAGCACTTCTGTGGCATCTGGGGAAACTCCAAGGATCACTGAATCTGAGTTACCAGGTTAAGAAGGAAGCCTGTCACTGCCCAGTGGCCCATGAGGGGACCAGCGTGTTCCTGTGTGGAGAGATGAAAAGACCAGCACCCAGGGCCCGGGAAAGGTGGCCTCACTGTTGGGAGGTGTCATGTCATTTAGGACAGAGATTTAACCTGATCCCTTACACAGACCTGATTTTAACCAATATTGTAGGCAGGGGCCAGAGTAATAGTATAGCGGGTGGTGAGGCACTCGCCTTGCTCCTGGCCGACGCAGTTTGATCCCCACTATGCCGCCGAACCCTACCCTTCCCAGCCTAACCAGGAGTGATCCCTGAGTGCAGAGCCAGGAGTAAGCCCTAAACACGGGTGGGTGTGGCCTCAAAAACAACAAAAAAGGGAGGCAAGCCACTCACAGTTCCTCAAGCAGTGCAGCACAGTTAAGTCCTGGGAAGAAATGACTTGGGGTAGGGTCAGGAGCGGTAGTACAGCAGATGGGGCATTTGCCTTGCATGCGGCCAGCATGGGTTTGATCCCTGCCACCCATATAGGGTCCCCAGGAGTAACCCCTGAGCACCTCCGGGTGTGGCCCCCAAAACAAAAACTGAATGACTTGAAAAGCAAATCAGTTGGGTGGTGTTAAGAATTGTGGAAACTGACACTGGTCTTGCTGGACACCAGCCGAGAGGGGTGCTGAGGAACCCCTGCTTCCCGGTGGAAGAGCTGCACCGAACCACCAAGAGGAAGAGCGGGGGTGCGAATAAGGGTAGAGCTAAGCTTTGATTTTTAAAATCTGACCCTTCCCCTGCACCACCCCCCACCCCCCAATCAAGCTGCACCTTTCTAAGCGTTGAGGTCGTAAGGGGGCACCTGGGGGGCACCAGGGGCAAGGCAGCCCCGTGACGGGGGTCTAGGGGGGAGTACCGAGCATTCCTGTCAAACCAAGATGTTCAGTTCTAAGCACCAGTCACTCTCTCTGCCTTGAGTTATGACACGGATGAGGTGAATGTCCCTCCCTACAGAAATATGCCGGTAGCTGAAAGGCAGTGGCAGGTGTTGTGAGCTGAAATCTTGCAGCAGAGAGTAAGAAATCCTTGTGTGACGGGAAGGTTTCTCTCCCCTCGGTGGGGGAACCCCATAATAAGAGCATCTGTCCTGAGGCCGGTTCACAGAAAATAATGGGTGTCGGCCTGTCCAGAAGCAAGCCGCCTTCCGACACGGGACGCGGAAAACATTTCACTGTGAGCGGGGCTATGCAGCATTCAACTCTATTGTGCCACAAAGAGAACACAGAAACGGTGAAAAGGAGGAGTGTACAAATAGTTCTTTTCACAGTACCACACAGACTAAGGCTTCCACAGAAAAATATTCCACACCTCCCAGGCCCTGTTTAAGCTGGAGTCCGGTCTGCATACCGCGGAGAGGGTACACGTGGGAAACGGCCAACTCTGGCCAACTGCATCTGTAACTTTCCAAACTGGACTCCGCCCAGCCAACTGGATTCCTGACTAGTGGGAATTTTCCTCCTCCAAGCCCAGCCACCTGAGCCAAAGAAAGGTTTCCTCTCCCAGGCTCAGATGGAGGTCGGGGTCCAGAAAAAACCGGCCCCCTGCTGTGAAGAAACGGCGGCATCCCTTTGGGCCCCCCCTTCGGCGTGTGGGCAGAGTTGAGGCAGAGTTGGCAGGGAGAGGCAGGGGCTGGGGGGTGGGTGGGGTGGAAGAGGCCCAGGGTGCGACTTCACGGGCACTCGTTCATAACACTATTCACGAGTCCTGATGGACTCTGAGTCGTTTCTGGAAAGGCGGGGACAGAGAGAGACAAAGGGCAGCATGCACTTTGCTCCGATAAAAGACACTCGCGATCGCTGCTTCTCACAGGTCCGAACACGGAGGCCCACGGCATGGGGGCGAGCGCTTGACCCCGTGGGAGCCGCCCGCACTATTTACACGTGGATCCCGGCTTCACAATGACACAGGGGCCCGCCTGATTTGGGCTGCGTCAGATTGTTCAGAAGTGGGTGACAGGCCTTTTCTTTCAAGCAGAGAACGGGACTGGGAGGAGAGGCCAGGGGTCAGCACCCCTCTTCGTGTCTCCGTGGTGACGAGAGGCTCAGTCACTCTCAGAGATGCTCCCCTCTCTCTCTCTCTCTCTCTCTCTCTCTCTCTCGGACCCCTCACGGGATTGACGGAGGCGTGGGGGGGGGTGTCTGGCAGCTACGCTAGAACCATGCTACATCGCATCTGAGGGGTGTGGGCAGCCCCCTGGGACCCTCTGGGTCACACGGGCAACCTGGGCTCACAGCCCACTTTTGGGGCTCTCTGGGCAGGGAGAATCGGAGAGGAGCAAGGGTAATGGGCTCTGGGCAGGCTTTTCCATCTCAGATGATGTGCTAAGTGGTGTGGCCTGAGGGAGATTGGGGGGTGAGGGGCACGGCTTTGTCTCAGCCACCCCTCCCTCCCCGGGTTCCCAGATGTCCTTATCGAAGGAACATAATGTGAAAATATTTGCTGGCACCAACTCCCCAGGCGCTGGCGGCTGGTCTTACTTCAGCCCAGGCCGTGCTTCAGCCCAGGCCGGGCAAAGGCAGGCAGCGCTGCGGAGAAGCCCAGGGGTGGGGGGGTGAGTCAGGAGTTGGGTGGCGGTGGGGGAGGCCCAGGTCTGCCCCAGCTCCCTTCTCTAGCACTTGTGTTTCTCGTCCCTGCTGCTGGCTAAAGAGTCACCTTGACATGGAGAAAAGTGTCTGGGAGACGGAGGGTAATGGAGTTTCAGCAAAGACCCTCAGGAAGTTTCCCGAACCAAACCCAAAGGCTTCTCAGCTCCTGTTCGCTTGGCATTGGGGTAGTGTCAGAGTGCTTTGGTTGTCCCAAGACCCAGAAGTCAGGGTGCCCAGCTTCGCGGGCCCAAGAGTTCTTCATGAGGCAAAGGAAGTGGCAGCTGGTGCCCGCGGGTAGAGCAGCCAATGGAGAGACCGCCTGTGTTCCTCCCGGCTCCGGGTGGTGGCAGCCCCGCCCTGGCTGGGTGCTGTGCCACGCTATACAATGTTCTCAGCCCCGGGCAGTGGCCCCTGTGGGGGCCCGCGATCCTGCTTACTGTGCAGCGCAGCCAGCTGCAGCACCGGCATGTTGCAGAGTGGACACACTTTCCGCACCTCCAGCCACTTAATAAGGCACCTGCAGAAGGAGACAGCGCAGGAGGGGAGGGGGAGGGGGGGCGAGAGTCAGCCCACGCAGCGCAGCAGGGAGGGTACACTTCCTCTCTGGGCGGAGGAGCCTCAACTTACCTGGCCCATAGGCCCCCTTTCAGAAAACAATTCACCCAGCATCCCGCTTCCCCTTAAATCTCCGGTAGGGGCTGGAGTGATAGTGGGTAGGGCACTTGCCGTGCACGTGGTCAGTTCAGGGTTCCATCCCTGGCACCACATAAGGTTTCCCAAGCCCTGCCAGGAGTGAGCCCTGAGTACCGCAGGGGGTGGTTCCCCCACCCAAATCCTTATTTATTTATTTTATTATTTTTTGCTATTTTGGGTCGCACCCAGTGATGCACAGGGATTATTCCTGGCTCTGCACCTGATCAGGAATTACTCCTGGAACCGTATGAAATGCTGGGAATCGAACCCGGTCGGCTGCATGCAAGGCAAACGCCCTACCTGCTTGTGCAATCACTCCAGCTGCCCACCCAAATCTTTAGGCAAACAAACAGAACCCCCCACCCCCGCCATGGCATCCATGGCTACTACAGGTCAGGTAGGCTGTGATTCCCTTTAGGGTGGGAGCACCCACTCCAAAGAGGACAGGAAGAAGCCAAAAGAGCACTACCTGCAGGAGCCCCTGGCTCTCAGGGAATGAAACACCACAGTTGGAGAAAAAAACATTTTCTTCCTTTTTCTCTTTTCTTTCTTTCTTTCTTTTTTTTTTTTTTTCTGGGTCATCCCCAGCAGTGTTAAAAGGTTACTCCTGGTTTTGCACTCAGGAATCAATCTTGGCAGGGCTTGGGGGACCATATGGGATGCTGAGGATGGAACCTGGGTTAGCCATGCCCAAGGCAAGTGCCCTTACCCCTTGTACAATGGATCAGGCCCAGAAAAAAAAATTTTTTTTTCTAAGGCAAATACAAAGTTGCAAAAGGAGGGAGCACCTGACAGTCTGGGGAGAGGGTCAGGCACTTTTCCTTAGGACCCCACAGGCAGGCTTCACTTCTTTTGATTTAAAGTAAGTAGGGGCCTTAGTACAGCAGGGAGGATGCTTGCTCTGCGTGCAGCCAGCCAGGGTTAGATTCCCAGCAACCTCTATGGTCCCCTGAACCTGCCAGGAGTGACCTCTCAGCATCACCGGGCATGGCCCTCGAATAATGACAATAAGAAATAACTACAGTGGGGTTGGGAGAGGCAGCGCGACAGACTGAGCATGTTCTTCACAGACAGGAGGCCTGGGTTCAATCCCTGGCACCACAGGGTCCCGGGAGCACGGGGCTGAGAGTGAGTGGCTCAGGACCGAGAAGATCAGAACTCTGGTTTCCATTACAAGTTTCTTTGGAGGTGGACGCTCTCATCGGAAAGTTCCAGTTAAAGAGACCTGCTTGGGCTCCGAGGCTGGCCGTGCTCTCCAGCTCAAGTCCTGCTGTGGGTGTCACGGTCTGTCACCTGGATTCCTCTGGACAGCATGTCCCCCTCCCCCTGCCCGTGGGTGCTTCCTGCTCGCCACACTCTTGACCCAGGGTGAAGTCACCTGGCCTGCCTGGCAATGCCCCGTCGGTACTCACTTTCTGTGGAAGGCATGCTTACACGGGCAGATCCCCAGCTCATCGCGAGGCTTGAAGTCTTCCAGACACACCGCGCAGAGCTGCAAGGCAAACCCACCGGTGAGGCCAGGGCCCGTGACCAACCTTCCCAGGCCACCAAGGAAGCCTCAGGCCCCGTGGCCCAGAGCTCTGTGGGACCCGGAAGAGGTCCCCAGGGTCCCCTGGCCTCTGCCTCGCTGCAGCCTGTCCCCAGCGGCTTAAAAGCCGAGGGGGGAGCACTCCCATCGCTCTTCCACCAAAGTGGGGAAAGGAGCACACGGCACAGTCCGCAGAGGCCGCTTCTAATTCCCCGGGGCCTCTCATCAACACAGGGGCCTTCAGTAGGTGGCTGTTCCTGTCACATAAAAAGTAATTCTAAGGGTGTTGGGGGGAACTCAATAAGGCACTTGCCATGAATGTGGCTGAGCTGGGTTCGATCTCCAGCATCCCTCATGGTCCCCGGAGCACCTCCAGGAGTGATCCCTGAGTGCAGAGCCGGGTGTAAGCCCAAGCATTGTCGGGTGTGACCCAAAGTCAAAACCAGTTATTCACAAGCTGCCAATGTTACCCTTAGGAAAGTGTGCAGATGGTCGGCCTTGCTTAGGACAGGTGCTCTGGTGTCACTTCATGAAGAGAGGGCACTGCTGTACACGGAAGGCTGAGTTACAGTCATGACTTCCAGGCCCTATTGCATTTACCCCCTTTACAGAGTGCGGAGCGGGAAGTGGGGCCGTCAGTGGGTGAGTGGCTGGGCTGGAGGCTGAGTCAGTGCTGCTGTGCCACTTCCCTTTCCTGCCTGCGGCTGAACTTCCTGCTTGTTTCCAGGCCCACCGAGGAATCCTGGATCAAATCATCACTTAAGATGATATTTTTAAAAAAGAGATTTCGGGGGCCTGGGGTATTTGGGCTACACCTGCTGGTACTCAGGGATCACTCCCTGTGGGGACAGGGATTCAACCAAGCAAACTGCTGGCAAGGCAAGGGCCTTACCCCTTGCACTGTCTCTCTGGGTATATGATGATGACTCCTTGCTACAGTGCTCAGCCAGCCTATTACAGGTGTTCTTTTTTTGAGTGGGGGGGAGGAGGGTGTGGATTATACCTGGTGATATGCAGGGATTACTTTTGACTCTGCATTCAGGAATTACTCCTGGAGGTGCTTGCTGGGATCATAGAGATTGCCAGGGATCGGGACTGGGTCAGCAGTGTGCAAGGCAAATGGCTTACCCCTGTACTAGCACTCTGGCCCTTTTACAGTTTTCTTAACCTGTAACATGTTACCCGGTCTCAGGTTTACGTAACATGACCTAGTAGGGTATGTGGCTCTTGATGGCAGTGAATACTAGCCTCCCAGTGTTCTCCTGGGAGCCCATGTGAATAGCAGACGGGATCTTCACAAGGAGAATGATGGTACCCTCTTATCAGATTTGGCACCACTGCTGAGACAGGAAGAGCAGGGAGAAGGCACGGGGGGTCGGCAGCCTGGGCGCTGACACCCTCCAGCGTAACCTCTGTGTGACCTCTGCCATGGTGAGGACTCAGCTCTGTTCCTTCATCTCTGAAGCAGGGCCAGCACCTGCCCAACCCATCACAGCCCAGGGCGGGTGGTTTGTTTTTGTTTGTTTTTGGGTCACACCTGGCAATGCACAGGGGTTACTCCTGGCTCAGGCACTCAGGAATTACTCCTGGTGGTGCTTGGGGAACCATATGGGATGCTGGGAATAGAACCCAGGTTGGCCGCATGCAAGGCAAATGCCCTACCTGCTGTGCCATCACTCCAGCACCCCAGGGCGGGTGTTGAGGGCTGAGGTTATACGGCTGGCCGACCTACAATGTCTGTGTTTGCAAGCCCAGCTGAAAAGAGGCGGTGGGTTAAGATGAGAAACTAGTAGTTCCAGCTTTGGGGCTCAGTTTTTCTAGCCTCATCATCCCAACTGCAAATATGCCTCCCTCTTGGAGTATGTGGACAGACCCTTAAACGCTTAGCTTCTCTCTGAACTCATGGCTGATAGCTCCGGCTCTAGGAATCTGGTGTGAATCCTAACAAAGGGCAAGAAGTTGGACAAGTCACTCATTCTGTTTGTTTTTTTTCCCCCCTAGGATCCGACATTAGCTCTACAGCCTTTTCAAAGCAGACTTACAGTGAATGCCCCTGACGGGACACTAGGTTATCCTGGAACACATTCTAAAACAACAGCCCTGTGAAAAAGCAGCTCTGTAACATAATCTCAGACATGTTCGATGCTAACAGTGACCAAAAGCCAAGGGCAACTGTGAAGAGAGAAATCTTAGGTTTGACTGAGAAGGCCCCTCAAGGGTTAAATTCAGTTTGCAACTTTATAGTACATATTTTGCAAACGAACCTTACTTTCTAGGATTCTTTTATTTTTAATTTTGGGCAGTAGTGAGGGATGGGGCCACACCTGGCAATGCTCAGGGATCACTTCTGCAGTACTTGGGGGGCCCTTTGCAGTACTGGAAATAGAACCAGGATTGGCCATATTCAAGACAAGTGCCTTAACCCCTGTACATCTCTCCGGTCCCTGTCTAGTATATCAATGGACACAAATATCACAGATGAATGACATTCATCCCATTTTGAAAATGAAATAATCTATGTATCTCTAAACCTTAATAGTCACCCCGCCTTCAGATGTGCATAATTTGTCAATTTTTGGTGCATTTGCAAAGCTGTGCAACCATTACTGCTGTCTTAGAACATTTTTTAGCACCCAAAGTCCAGATCCCTCAGTAGTCACTGCTCCCAGTCCTCAGAACCACTAATTCTGTCTTGATGGATGAGTCATTCTCATCTAATCCATCTAGAATGGAATCACTCGAGATGGGTTATTTCCAGACTAGAATGGAATCATGGAATTTGGAGCAGCCAACAAGTCTGTCTTCTGTCATGCTGAAGAGAGAAGGTGAACAGGGATTTAGCCCCCTAAATCCCAGGTTCCTCTGGGTTCACTCATGCTGCAATACGAACAGTGCTTCGTTCATTTTTGCGGGGGTCACACCCAGTGGTTCTCTGAATTTACTCCTGGCTTTGAGCTCAGGGATCACTCCTGTGGGCTCAGGGGATGTATGGGGTGCTGGGGATCAAACCCCGGGTTGGCCGTGTGCAAGACAAATGCCTGACCTGCTGTACTATCTCTCTGGCCTTTGTTTATTTTTGTGGCTAAATAGTGTAAACGTGTTGCAGGGACATACACATCTTATTTACCCTTTCATCTGCTGAGAGCCATTTGTAAGTGTCTTCGTCATGAAAGAAGATTGACTTCTGTCAATTGCCTTTGCTGTGCCTATTAGGACCATGAAGGATCTTTCATTCTTATTTTCCTATGAATAGGGTGCACATATGAATGAATGGTGGTCCCTCTGAGGAACCAGCCTTGCATTCCTGGGATAAATTCCATTTGGAAGCCTCATGGCTGGTCAGGACACTGAACCATGGATGTGGGTTTAGGGCCCTACAAGGGTATGCATATCTGACGAATCCACAGCAGGCAGACGTGGCTTTCTCTGGTGGCGGCGGTCTGGGCTGCCTTCTCTACCCTGGCGCCGTGTGGACACGGCACTTGTACTGCCGGAAGGAAACAGGACTGGGACCCACGCCGCCTCATCATGGTTGGTGCCATGGCAAACCAACCAACCCACCTGCCCAGGAGATTTTCACCATCTATTTTCAGGCACTGTAGCTGCAAGACTGTTTATTTAGATCCCCACAGTCTTCGCCTAAGGGATTCTTCTCCTCTATAGTCTCTATTGCAAAAGCTCAAGGAATGAATCTCTGGAAGGGGAAAGGGGGAGAAGAAAAAAAAACTTAGGGATAGGCAAAGAAATAACTCCAGTTAGGTCACGCTCCCTTTACTGAGAAGAAGACTGACACCAGCAGATTTTCTGGCCACATCAATATTAGACCAACACTTTGATTTCAGATGGAACCACAGAGGCCACGAGATCCTTGGCCTTCTGACTGCTTTTTTGTTTTCGGGCCACACATGGCGATGCTCAGGGGTTTCTCCTGGCCCTGCACTCAGGAATCACTCCTGTTGGTACTTGGGGGACCGTATGGGATGCTGGGGATGAACTGAGATCAGCCATATGCAAGGCAAGCTCCCTACCCGCTGTACTCTTTCTCTGGCCCCTAGCCTTTCTATTTTCATGAGATGTGCCAGTCTTATCTGATCAAACTCTAGAAAAGTGAGCGTATGACTGGGATTCAAAGATTACTTGTTGAGAAAACCTCAAAATATTTCTTCAGATGTGGTATGGAGGATCACCTGTAAAAACGCTGTTTTAGGGGCCAGAGAGATAGTACAGGGGTTAAGATGCTTGCCTGGCATCCTGCCAACCCTGGTTTGGATTCCCAGAATGGCATAAGGGCTCCTGAACCATCAAGGTATCACTTCTGAGCACAGAGCCACGAATAACCCCTGGGCATCACAGGGTGTGGGATTCCAAAACAAACAAACACCCCCCCCCCCAAGTGCATAAACTGTATTTTATTTAAAAATAACAGTTAACTCTCTGAGATATCTCTGGGGCACTAGCAGAGATGCGCATATGGTTCTCTGCCTCTCACTGCAGCAGAGGTGGGCAGCAGTCCCAGAATGGCTGATGTGTGCCATCCCACGGGACTCACCGAGGGGCACAGATGGAAGCCTGCAGCTGCTCGCTCCGTCTTCCCCTGCCTGAGCCAGGGACAGAAATCATTACGCAAGAGGCAGGGGGAGACGAGGAGATGTCACGATTTCTGGAATCCTACCTTGCCGGAAGTCTCAGTTCCCTGTATTTCTCAGGACTCTCTGATTTTACGCTCAAGAAAAAGGGGTTGAGGTCAGAGCTGGTAGTAAGCTCTTAACAGAACTGGGTGCCCCCTACCTCCCTCTCTCCCTCCAGTTCCCCTCCCCCCCTAAAAAAAAAACAATAAGGCTCCTTACTAGGAGAAATGCTCCAATTTGTTAGGAGCAATGCTGCAACTTTTATAGTCTCAGCCTCAAACACATTTCAAAAACTAAGGAAAGATGAGCAAGGGCACTAAAATGAAGAATAAAAATTCAGAACATGGGCCAGAGAGCTAGTACAGATGACTGGGCACTGGCTTGGGGTGTCAGGGTTAAGGCTGGGCTGGCCACAGGCAAGGCAAGTATCCAACTTGCTGTATTATTGCTTCAGTCCTAAACTCTCTTTTTTAAAAATTTCTGAAATTAAAGATCTTTAAGCATACTACTATCAGGAAATGGTTCAAGACATGATGAAAAACTATGGGGCTGATGAGAGAGCCCAGAGGGTCAGTGAAGGAATTTTGTATGCTGGAGCTCAGTTTGATTCCTGGGACCATCTCAGGTGAGTGACCTTTGTGTGGTCAAAAAAAAAAAATTAAAAAAGGATTAAAATGACATGTGAGAGGTCCTGGATTCAATCAGCAGTGCTGAAAAAAAAAAAAAAGGAAAAAACCCAAGGAAAGATAAACTTACCTCATGTAAATTCAGCTCTTTTACTTTGTCTTTCAATATAACCTGTTAAGATAAAAAAAATCCAATAAAAAAATTTCACATTATACTCATGTATTTTTAATTTGAGGATATAGCTCATGTTCTCTCATAGTAATACAGAGAATTTCTTTTACTGTCTGAGACAGAACATTTTATCAACTTTTTGTTGTTTCTTTGGGCTAGGCAAGCGAGAAATGCTTAGAAGCGACTCACAAGGGTTTATTCTAAAGGTGCTCTGGGGACTGTGAAGTGCCAAGGATTGACCCTGGGCTTCCTTCGTGCAGAGCATGCACGCTTGGCCCTTTGAGCTATCTTCTTGGCCTTTCCCAATTTTTCTCTCTTTTATTTTTTTTTAAATGTAAGCAACTCTGAGGCCAGAGCGAGAGTACAGCAAGCAGGGCATGTGCCTTGCACGTGGCCAACCCAGGTTCGATGTTTAGCATCCCATATGGTTCACAGAGCAAAGCGAGGAGTGGTTCCTGAGTGCAGAGCCAGGAATAACCCCTCAGCATCACCGGGAGTGATCCAAAAAGTCAAAAGAAACTTAAATAAATAAATTAAAAATAAATACATTTAAGCAACAATGCAGCATTCTCCTGAAACAAAATTTTGAATCTCTGATATTAAATTCCGGGGTGAGATATAACCCATGCCCTGTAGGAGGCAAGAGTTTGATCCCTTGCACCACTTTGTCCCCTGAGCACAAACCAGGAGTAGCCCCTGAGCACTGCCCACTTGGAATAAATGCTAATCACTGTCACTGTCCTCCCGTTATTCATCAATTTGCTCGAGTGGGCCCAGTAATGTCTCCATTTTGAGACTTGTTGTTACTGTGTCTGGCATATTGAATACATCACGGGTAGCTTGCCAGGCTTTGCCGTGCGGGCGAGATACTCTTGGTAGCTTGTCGGGCTTTCCAAGAGGGGTGGGAGAATCAAACCCGGCTCGGCCAGGCTGGTTGCGCACAAGGCAAACACCCTACTGCTGTGCTACCGCTCATGGAGGGGAAATAAATGAAGCTAACTTTCTGACGAGCCTGGATACGACTTTCTGACGAGCCTGGATATACAGCATTGGCTGAAAAATCGATGATTTACAAAAATATTATAAGTTATGTAGGTATATACTAAATTTCTAATGCAGAATGTATTTTTTTTTTGCAGTGACAGGGACCTAACCCTGAGTCTCACGCAAGGCAATGACTTAACTGCTTTGCAATGCAGTCGTCAATCCTAATGGTGTATTTTTAGATATATAACAGTGTATTTTTATATCTATAAACAGAGTGTATATCTTTCTATCTATTTTATATAGATAGATCTTGCCTTTGAGCATACCTGGCTGTGCACAATATTTTACTCCTGGTTCTGTGCTCAGGGATCACTCCTGGTATGCTCAGGGAACCACACAGGGTACAACTGATCGGCCATATGCAAGGCAAGTGCCCAATCTGCTTGGCTATTGTTCTGGACCCCTAATTCAGTACATTTTAAGAATCAAATTTGTTTTCTTTCACATGGCTTAAAGCTCTGTCATTTTCACCTTTTATGTTTGTTCATTCTTCTTTGGGAGACCTGAATAGTGTTCTCATCCTGTTTGCATAGGGCCCAGGTCTCTGAGGCGTATGTTAATGCAGGAAGAACAGTGGAATCAAAGAGATGTGCCCGGAGCTGGAGGTTCTTCGTCCTCTTAGCTATTTCTTCGACGTTCTTGAAGGCGTTCCAAGCCGCTCTCTTCCTCCTGTGCAGCTTGGGTGCCAGGTCACTTGTCATGTTGACTTCTCGACCTAGGTACACATAGCTGTTGCATTCGGAGATGGTCGTTCCGTTGAGAGCGAATGGGGCATCAGGAATGAGGCTGTTTCTCATAAACACTGTCTTCGTAAGATTCAGCTGTAGTCCTACCTTTCCACACTCACGGTCAAAGTTGGCCAGCATTTGTGCCGCTTGGCTGATGTTTGGTGTTATTAAAACAATGTCATCAGCAAAGCGGAGGTGGTGTAGTTGCCGACCATCTATCTTCACTCCCATTCCTTCCCATTCCAGCCGTCGCATGATGTTCTCGAAGGTGGCACTGAAGTGTTTCGGTGAAATGGTATCACCCTGCCGAACCCCTCTCTTGACATCAACGATCACTTCTTTGTAGAATGGTGAGATCCTGGTAGTGAATCCGCAATACAGCTCACGGAGGATCTTGATGCATTGGGCTTGAATGCCCTGATTGGCTAGGGCTTCAATGACCGCTTCTGTCTCAACAGAATCAAAGGCCTTCTTTAAATCAATGAACGTTAAACAGAGCGGCATCTTGAACTCCCGAGAAACCTCAATGAGTTTGGTTATCGTGTGGATATGGTCAATGGTGCTGAATCCTTTGCGGAACCTGGCTTGCTCGCATGGTTGTCCTTCATCTAGTGTTCTGCCAATCCTATTTAGGATGACTCGAGTGAACAACTTGTAGATGACAGACAATAGGCAGATCGGGCGATAGTTGCCAATGTCATGGATGTCTCCCTTCTTGAACAGTAGTACGGTCCTGCTGGTTTTCCACTGGGATGGAACCTTGCATTCAGACAGGTAGCATGTGAAGAGCCGAGCCAGTGTATTGATTTCAAAGAAGAATTGAAAGAGCTATGCTTGGAATATCACGTTTCACTCAAATGAGAGAAAGAATCCGGAGTTCCGACATCCATCGTCGATCAAGAATCAGGGACGCTGTCTCGTTTGCCAAGGTGTCAAAAATCAGATGGGCTGGTCACGTAATGAGATTTAAAGACGACCGCTGGACCAGAGCTGTTACCGACTGGATTCCACGGGATGTCAAAAGACCGTGTGGCCGCCAACCTACCAGATGGTCAGACTTCTTCGTCAAGATCATGAACGATCGGTTTGAGGCTCTTCATGTTCCCAGAGTGAACAGATGCCATTGGGCTACACTAGCACGCGACAGGGACAAATGGAGACGTTACTGGCGCCCGCTTGAGCAAATCGACGACTAACGGGAAGTTAAGTGATTAAGTGAAGTGATGTTTGTTCATGTGGTGCCAGGGATTGAACCCAAGGTGTCACATATGGAAGGCATTCTTCCTATCACTGGGCTAAATCCCCAGTCCCTTCTTTCATTTTTTAAAAGCTCACTAGGGGCCTGGAGCGATACTATAGCAGGTAGGGCGTTTGCCTTGCATGCAGCTGACCCTGGTTCAACTCCCCGCAAGGAGTAATTCCTGAGTGCAGAGCCTGGAGAAACCCCTAAGTATCGGTGGGTGTGGCCTAAAAAGAAAAAAAAAACAAAACCAAAACCCAAAAACCCCAAAACAAACAAACAAACAAAAAAACCGGCTCACTATGTCATTAACTTTTATTTTTGTTTGGGGGCCATACCTGGCAGTGTTCAACGGTGTACTCCTGGCTCTACATTCAGGAATAACTCTTGGTGATGCTCAGGGGACCATATGGGATATCGGGGATTGAACCAGGGTCGGCTGCAAACGCCCTACCTGCTGTACTATTGCTCCAGCGCCAGGTTGAGCAATACTACTTCCAAGACAGAAAAAAATACTTGAAAGTGAAAATCTATTTTGAACTACAAATTGGCATGTGAAATATGAAATAAACAGAAATCCAATCCCAGTTTAAATTATGAACCATTCTCATACTTTTGATTAAAAAATACGAACAAAGTCAATCTAAAGTAAATTTCTTACCTGCTTATAGGCATAAAATTCTTTGTGGGCTTGATGTCTTAGCCTAAAAGAAAGAAAAAAACAACATGAAATCTATTTCCCTAATACAAACAACTTGAAAAATTGAAATTGCTGAATTTTGCTATTTATGATTTAAAGCCCAGAGTCTTTATCCTAGAATACACTGATATGATCTATTACCACATTATGACAAAGCACCCAGTAAATTCTGAGGGCTTGTTTGTTTTGTCTTTGGACCACACCTGCCAGTGTTCAGAGCTTACTCCTGGCTATAAACTTAGGGATACTGGTGGTACTTTTTTTTTTTTGCTTTTTGGGTCACACCCAGTGATGCACAGGGGGTTAATCCTGGCTTTGCACTCAGGAATTACTCCTGGCGGTGTTCAAGGGACCATATGGGATGCTGGGAATCAAACCTGGGTGGGCTGTGTGCAAGGCAAATGTCCTACCCGCTGTGCTATCACTTCAGCCCCTACTGGTGGTACTTGGGATACCATTTGGGGTGCCAGGAATTGAACCCTGGTCAGCTGAGGGCAAGGCACAGATTCAACCTGCTTTAATATCTCTCTGGGACCGAGTCCTGAAAATATGACTTAAGTGTAAGTCCTAGTGAAATCATATTAAAATACAATCTCATTACAAAAGTCTTTTTCATATTGATAGTAAACTTGTTTCAAAACTTAAAATAATACATTTAAATGAAAAATCACATCTTTAACAGTTAAACACGCAACCAATAATATAAGTATAAATACACATATCAGTATTAGCCGGTTCAATATTTAGAACATTTCCAGTGCCTCCTGAAACACTTTCAATCAATATTGACTACCAAGATATACACATTCTCCAGAATTCTATTATATTGATTAACTAGGCCAGTTGTTCTAAAATTTCTTATAAATGGATAATTTTGTAACACTCTTTTGTATTTGGGTCAAGCAGCAGTTTGTAAATTCAAGTCACTGAAATTCATCCATGCTGCAGTAATTCTTTTTGACTGCTCAATCATATGAATATAAAATAATCAATTCATCCATTTTACTCTTGACAAATATTTAGATTACTTCCAGTTAGAGGCTATTATACAGTTGATCATTCTTCCACATTCCCTTTTTGGGGAGAAGGGAGGGATGCACATCCAGCACTATTCAGGGGCTTTTCTTGGTCCTCCCACAGTCAAAGCTTGTCCATCAGCCTTTTCAGCTCTCTCCCTGACTCTCTGTTCTGGGCAGAAGGCACATCCCAATGGTGCTCTGGTGCTCTGAGCTTACTCTCAGGGATCACTCCTAGCAGTGCTGAGGGGACCATGTGTGGTGCTGGGTTCTCTACTGGTTGCAAGACAAGGACCTTAACCTCTATCTCTCTACCTGTCTCTCCTCAGCCTTCTTTAATGGACCTTTAGACTTATATTTGCTGGTCCAGTGTTTGTACCAAATTCTACGGTATGTATAAATGTTCTATTCCACATCACTGCCATGGCTTGGTAGGGTGAGTTAAAATTTTGTAGCAAATTTGATAGATGTTCAGTGGCTTCTCATTGTGGCTTTTTGTTTTGTTCTGATCACACCTGGAGATGCACAGGGGCTACTCCTGGCTCTGCACTTAGGAATTACTCCTGGCGGTGCTCGGGGGACCATATGGGATGCTGGGAATTGAACCTGGGTTGGCCGCGTGCAAGGCAAATGCCCTACCCACTGTGCTATTGCTCTGGTATTTCCCAAATGATGTTTCTAATCCGTTCAGTTACCAGTTGTATTTTTAATCAGCTTGTGCCAGGGAGTGCCTGTCTCTGCCTTCTGAGCTACCCTCCCATTGTAGGGTCTTATCATGCGACAGAGCTGGGTGTAGCCTTGCTGAGAATGGACCTGAGCATATAGCACAGTTGGGGGGGGGGTTGGCCCCTAGAGTTGTCTCTATTTTTCTTATTAGAGTTATGTGTTTCAGATGCAAGCCCTCTGCTATATCTATGAAGTCTCTTTTACTCTACAGCGCCCTTTTATTTCTTTAATGGTATCTTCTTTTGTTTGTTTGTGTTTGAGTCACATGTGGCAGTGCTTAGGGGTTCAATGCTGGGGTTCCCTCTGATGCTGGGGATCAAATCAGGGCCTCTTGCATGCAAAGCACGTGCTTCAGCTCTTTTAATGGCATCTTTTAGTGAGTGGCATCTTTAAATGCACAGATTTTAAATTTAAATAAGCTTTATTATTTTTTTTTCTAATTTCAGATTTTCTTTTGGTTTGGTTTTTGGGCCACACAGGGTGGTGCTCAGGGCTTACTCCTGACTGTGCTTGGGAGTCATTCCTGGCAGGGCTTGGGGAACAATATGTGATGCCGGGGATTGAACCTGGATGAGCCACATGCAAGAGAGCTCCCTGCATCTCTCCAGCTCCAATCTTAGTTCTTCTGTGTCTGGTTAGAGGATCTACAATGCTTTTTATTTTGATTTGTATAACGTTACATTTTAATAAATAAACAATGATTCCAATGTAAAATTTAGGATTTTTTTTTTTTGCTTATCCCGAGGTCATAAAGATACTCTTATGAATGTGATGTCAACAATTTATTTTGCCTATCACATTTAGGTCTATGATACACCTGAAATTAATTTTTTTTAGCCTTTTTTGGGGTCACACCCGGCAATGCACAGGGGTTACTCTTGGCTCTGCACTCAGGAATTACCCTGGTGGTGCTCAGGGGACCATATGGGATGCTGGGAATCGAACCCGGGTCAGCTGTGTGCAAGGCAAATGCCCTACCCGCTGTGCTATCGCTCCAGCTCCTGAAATTAATTTTTTTTAAATGATGAGGTAAAGTTTATTTTTAGGCCATGCACAGCTGTGCTCAGGGCTTATTCATGATGGGGGGTGGGACACCAGGGACTGAACCTGGGTCAGCTGGATGAGAAGCAAGTGCTCTGCCCACTGTACTACCTCTCCAACTCCCGATTTTTTTTTAATTCACAGATTTTTGACTTGCTTATTGAAAAGAGCCTCCCCCCTCCCCCACTTTTCTTTTCTTTTTTATTTTTGGGCCACACCCAGTGGTGCTCAGGGCTCACTCCTGGCAGGCTTGGAAGACTATGTGGGATGCTGGGGATTGAACCCAGGTTGGTCACATGCAAGGCAAGCACCTACCCACCTTATTATTGCTCTGGCCTCCTAAAATAGAGCCTACTTTGCCTACCGCTTTGAAGTGGCATACCTCGTAAGCTATAATCAGAAAGCTGTGGGTCTTTCTCGAGTTGTATAGTATCTATTTTTTAAAAAATCAAGTTCACCTGAAACCTCAGAATAAAACCTTAATTAATATGGGTGTTGGGCCCTAACTGACAGTATAGCGGGCAGGGGTTTGTCTTGCATGTGGCTGACCCAGGTTCAATCCCAGGCACCCCATTTGGTTCTCTGAGCCTCACCAGGAGTGACCTCTGAGTGCAGAACCAGGAGGAAGCCCTGAGCATCACTGAGTATGGCCCTAAAACAAAACAAGGGAACAAAAAAGTAGGGTCTTCATAGATTACTAACGAGTTAAGATGACGCCATACTGAGATTGGGGTGGATATTAAATAGAAATCGTATCATTGGGAGATGAGGAAAGGTCATATAGAGGCATAGGGAGAATCAAGTGAAGACAGGCAGAGACGAAGTATTGGAGCTTCAAGCCGGTGACATGAAGGGCTGCCCCTGAGGGCCGGGATGAAGATGATGCAGCAAAGCACCTCCCCTCCAGCTCGGCACCAATACCTGATTCAATCTTCCTGCCTCCAGAACTGGGTGATTTAATGTTATTTGTTTCGTTTTTTTGTTTTGGGTCACACCTGGTGGGGCTCAGGGGTAACTCTGGGCTCTGCACTCAGGAATCACTCCTGACGGTGCTCAGGTGGCCAAATGCAATGTGGGGGATCGAACCTGGGACTACTGTGTGCAAGGCAAGAGCCCTACCTGCTGTTCTACCTCTCTGCTCCCCCTACCACGTGTTATTTTAAGTCACTCAGTTTGAAGTACTTAGCACAGTCCTGGGAAACAAATACACCTTGTGTTAATAACAGGCTACTTAAGAAAACCCTTTATTTTGAAATAATATTAGACTTACAGAAATTTTTCAAAAAACAGCGGAGTTCACGAACACCTTCCATTTCCCCCAAAGTTCACATCTTACAAAGTCACAGTACAAAATGATCAAAAAACAAGGACAGTAACTTGATACAATATTGCTAAATAACGAACCTGATTTGAACTTGACCTGTGATTCTGCCCTGTTACTCAAGATCCCTCCTTGCATTTCTCGTTTGCTTTCCTCCAACCCTGATCTCTACTTTAAAATTACTATTTTCTCCTTTATAATTGATCAATGAATATCTTAGGGGAGAGATGATGGAACCACACAAACACCTTATATTCTCAAATTGTTTATCCACTAATTGTAGCACTCATCTTTTGTTTGGGGGCCATATCTGGAGATGCTCAGGTAGGTTACCTCTGGTTCTGTACTCAGGGATCATTCCTGGTGGTGCCTGGGAGGACCATATGGGACGCTGGGGACCAAACCTGTACAAGGCCAACGCCCTACCCGCTGGACTACTGCTCTGGCCCCTAGCATTCATCTTGCTTGCAAACAATTTTTGTCATGTTTGCCCAGTGGCAATTTTCTAATTTCTTATACATTCATTTATTGCAATATGCAATAATTACGAACATAAATGTAACCATTATGTAAAAAAGAGATTTTAACCCACTCATTTATTTGCTCATACAAAATTTTATGGGTATTTGTTTCAATCTGGTGGTTATAATAAAATATAATCATTATTTTCTGCTCAAATAGATTAAGGTTTGGCCTTAACAAGCTCCTTAGGTTGACTATTGTACTCTCTCATCAATCCCTTGCTCTTTTTATGGGGGGTTGTTGTTGTCTGGGGCCATACTGGCTGTGCTCAGAGCTTACTCCTGGCTCTGCACTCAGGCATCACTCCTGGAGGGGCTTAGGGGACCATATGGAATGCCATGTATCGAACCCAGGTCGGCTAAGTGCAAGACAAGTGCC